GATCCCCTTGCAACCGCTCCAAATCACTCATTATCTGGCGAACGAAAGTCATCACTACAGCGAAGAAGGTGGCACGAGTCATGTCCTCACACACTTTGCACTTCACAGTAATGTAGTCAGCAATGGCTCTGATCCTCTCTCGGATTCTGCCCTTTTCCTGAAGCAGTCGCCCTATCTGCTGATTCCTGTCTTCTAATACCTGAGAGTCGTGAAGGTGTTGATTTTGCAACTGTTGTATTTCTTCCTCCATATGAGCCATCAAATCATAATAGTGTTCCTTGTCAGCTCTGAAGTCTTTAGCCTGCTTGGCTGCCTCATTATCAAGAGTAGTTACCTTTTTTCTCAGGCTGGTGATTGTCCCTTCATACTTTCTCTTCAGTTGTTGCACAAACTGTGTCCGACCTTTTGCCTTTTCTACTAATTGAGCCCGGGCTTTTGCTAGACTGGCCTCAGACTTTTCTAAGTCATCTTGACACTCAAGGGCTTTCTTTTTCAGACTGCTTATAAGCCTTTCATCCGCTCGACTTCTTTCTGGGTTTCTAGCAGCTATTTTCATCTTCCGGATTTTAGCTTTGAGGGCTTCATTTTCTTGAGATAGCTTTTTCTTTTCTCCCTCATCTGCGGCAGCTTGCAAACCATTTTCAAACTGAAGGTACATGACTTGCCTTTCCAACTGGCTTATTTTAGCTTTGTAGCTTTTTTCTCTTGCCAACCAGCCCCGCTGCTCTTGCGAGTCGTTAGTGAGTTGCTGAACATGAGCTCTCTTAGCAGGTCTCTCCGGAATCTGGAACCTTTTACCGAACCAAATAATGTACTTGGGTCTACTTCACCTCTAGCTAGATCCCGCACCATAGTCTTAGGTTCAAGAAATCTACATTCATTCCACACCTGGGGAATTCTCCCTTCTGGAAATATGGCTTTTTGGCCCAATTCAATGACATGTTTACTCAAATCTTTGTCATGGGGAACGGTTTGAAATCTTCCCAATTGGTGCAAAACCCTGTGGGGGGCATACAATTGGATGCTTCGGATGCCATCAGGAGGAGATAACACACTTCAGCTGACATGTATACTGCTTCGGTGACAAGAAGCCATCCGAACGCCCACTCAATTTTATCGGCAGTCAAGGATCTCAAATGTGCAAACCAAGCTTCAGTACCCTCAGGGAATTCAATACCCACTACTCGGCTTTCAAATTCTACAATGCAACTCAAACCGATCATACCGTAATTCATATACCCAACCCGGTGGCAGAGATGTTCCTGCATCCATAATTGTAGTAACAGATTGCAGCCTTGGAAGAACTTTCCTCCTTCCCGACAGATAGTCAAGGCTCAGTAGATTTCAGATAAGATCAGGGGAACCATAGTGCTGTTGGCTTTCTTGATTGCAACATCGATCATTTATACGAGACCCACCTCTATATTACCATCTTTTCACGGACAGACTACAACACCCACAAAGGCTACTATAAAAGCCAAACCCCGCCTTGCCTCCCATTTGTCTTTATTTCTGGCATGGGTCAGACTAGTGTTCGGCTCTTCAAAACCTCGGGGGTTACAATAGCGTTGATACAAGAATTGGAGAGTGCAATACCCTTCAGATAAATTTCCATCCTAAATATCCCGACTAATACTCAGCAGATCCAGAAATCTGTGGGGAGATACCGGTCTTGGTGACACTAGATATCTACTTCTAAGGTTTCCATTAAGGCCCGCATAACCCACAACTTCCTCCAGCATGGGTGTGAGCTCAAAGTCAGAGAAAAGGAACACATTTCGAGTTGGGTCCCAAAAAGGTACTAATGCTTCAATTATGTCCAACATTGGCTTGATGTTCAATAGTCCGACGAGACCTCCCAGAACCTTTAACACGATTTCTCTACTACCTTTTCCTAGATCATTCCACCACATGTGGAGCTGTAAGGGGATCTTTTTAAGGACTGTAAAGGGTTCAATTTCATTTGTGCTCATCCTGCACATTTATTAAGGTGATTTAATAACATATTTTGACCCAAAAAAAAGGTAATACCATTTTTTCAAAATTTTACTTCAAAAATAAAACCTGGTTTTTGCGGATACGACCTTTTAGCACTTCGGGGAAGAAGATTTTAAGGTTGTGCCTGCTAACCGGTCGAAAAATAAAAAAATGAACAAAAGTGGTTGTTCTTGCAAAAACAGCCTTCCGGCGCCCTTTTGGGGACATTCAGCTTTGTTTAAACAAGAATGACATCACCCTGCTTATTTGTGACAAAAAAATAAAATTTTGTTGTTTTTGGGCTATTTTTGCAAAAGGGAAGTTAGACCCGATGGGAGTTGCCTACGTATCCCATATCCGGTGAGAATCAAACTAGCGTAGTTCGGGCAGATTTGACAAAAATGAAAACCAACTAATTTTAAAGACAAAACTCTCTTTTTCTTTTCTTCTTTTTTTTCTTTTTTCAAAATTTTGGCAGAATTTCGTTATATTTTGGATACTGATTTTTCAAAACAAGTAACTACTTCTCTGAGCCTTCACACTGTTATTTTCTTTTCCCAATTTCTTCTATTATCCACAAGCCGGTCAACACGCAAATCCGAAGCAAATAAATGCACAAGTAGCACGTAGGATGCATCAGGATGGTCTTTTCATTTCGGGTATGCCTGTCCTAGACAGACCCAATCCATGTGTTGAGTCTCCTAAGTCAAATGCACGTGATGCAAAAAAATGTTCCTACTAGGGATCCAACATGAGGTTTTGTTATACTAGGTTTAAAACTTGGGTTTATTGTTCTAGACCTGGCTTACCCGAGCGGACAACTCGAGCCAAGGGGGGCAGCGTACCGGGAATACAGAAGCTTTACCGGCTTAGAAACTTATCCAAACCTCGTTCTAAAATAGGATAAGACCCTAGACAAAAGAGAAGTCACACGAAGTGCACCCTTCTCCATTATTTAGAAGACTCAGAGAGAGGATGGGTTTCGTAGCAGTTTATATACAGTTCACAGAATATCAAAGCGGTAAAAGCACTTAGCACATTAGGCTCAAACATGTAGGAAAATCAGATAACAGATAAAGCCAATCATAACAGCTATTCTAAGCTCGAATTCTTGAATCCTGAACCAGAGATTCTGGGTTCGATCCCCAGAAGAGTCGCCAGAGCTGTCACACCTCCTTTTTTACACACCCGAAAGTAGTATAACGAAGTTTTTCCACTTTAAGTGACATTATTCGAAATGAGATTAATTATTCATTTTTATTCAGAGTCGCCACTTGGGATAGTTTATTTGGTGTCCCAAGTCACCGGTTTATTTTAAAATCCCAAATCGAGGAAATTCGACTTTCCTTTTGAAGTTTGCGAACTAGAAATTCTAAGTAAGGAATTCTGTTAACCCGAGGGAAGGTGTTAGGCACCCTCGGATTTCGTGGTTCGAGCACGGTCGTAAACTATCATAATTGGCCTATTATCTGATTTTAGTACATGTTTTAACCTATGGTACAACTTTAGAAATTATTAACCGCTTTTAATTATTTTAAAGAAGATTTAACATCGTTTAAAATATGTCTTTGGACCACGTCACATGAAATGCACCTGCAGTCCGCGACATATTTTATTTAACGTTGTTGAGATTTAAATTTGGGTCACATGAAATGCACACCCCAGTTTAGAAAGGTAATTTTTCAAATAATGCACCTAAAACAACTACGCGTTTTAACTTTGTGAGGGCCATGAAATTTTGCTAAACGGCGCACCTCGAGTTCTAAGGATAAAACGAAACTAATTAAAATGAGGGCCATGCAATTATCCCTTTGTTTGGAATGGCGCACCTTAATCCTAATTTTTGAAGAAAAAGAATTTAAATTAAGTTTGGAGGGTCGTGGACTATTTATGTTATTTACTACAGCTCACCTTCATTAGTCCTATCAATTAATTAATGGGGCAATGATAAATGTCACCATTTCTTAAGCTAAATGTTAGATCTCATTTTAAACAAAAGAAACCAGTTCGAGCTAGCCTTACGAAGGAGCATCGGCCTTTAAGAGGAAAGGCCCAACACCGCATCCTCGCCTTACGCGAAATTCCTAACCCAAATTAAACAAGGATCAAGGAGGAAGCAAGGGTGTAACTTGAGTTCGAATCCCCTTACAGGCATTAAAGACCAAGGGCGATTAGAAGGGGTCGATATCGAACCTAGCTAGCTAAATGAGGCAAAACGGCATTCGAACCTTCGAGCTTGGGGCCTGAATGAGCCCAAGTCTTAATGAAGAATGGAAATTCAAAAGCCCAAGCTCACAACAAATAGTGAGGAGCCCAGGTTTTCAGATCCAGAAAAAAGCACACAAAAACAACACAAATGACAATCCTCATCAAACTATGACATTACACTATGGAAAACGTTCAACCCTTTTCATTAATTAATTCCCCAAATCAGTTACTTTGAAACAGATTCACATGTTCCCTAAAAGAAATCAACATATATATTTATCCCTTTTCGAACCACCATTTCAAAATTGGAATCCTTGTTTTAAGAATACACACACCCTTATTTGAATATTAGAAGACAATGCAATAACATATTTGAGGTAGGAAGTTTAGATTATGAGAAGAACAATGAACTAAGCTTAGAATCGACTTAAACTAGAGCAAACAAAACTCATGAAGCACGCATATATCAATATTTTAGCAAGGTTTGAATTGCAAAAGGACATGAAATAGTCAGATCCTCATAACTTCGTCACACAAACTCCATATGAATCTAACACTATTCACTAACATTGAGTCATTCACTACAAGAAATTGGACTAATTGGGCGACTTAATTTGTTGCAACAAAAGTTATGGCTTTTGTGGCGACTATGAAAGTCGCTGCAGTAGGTAAACCTTTAATAGCGACTTTATTAGGTCGCCTCTACTATGTACAACTAAAGAGAGAATTTTTCATTCCCGCCAAGAATAAATGTTAAGCTCCAAAGTATTTGTAGCGACTAATAAATAGTCGCCTCTGAATGACCTCTGCGGCGACTTTGTCGCCACTATATGTTACTTTAAAATATAAAAACAAATAAAAGAACAAGCCCTAAAATAATTAAAACAAAAGAGAAGCATAGCCGTATCTCTGTAGAAGAACAAAATCTTATTTCATATCTCTCTTGAGCATTTTCCATTCTCTACGCAAATGTCTGCAATTTATCCGTGCAAATCACAAAATATGAACCATATGTTAGAGATCCAAAAGCCCTATCCGAAATTGTGACTTTTTCAGGTATGTTAGAGACTCAAAAGCTCAAATCACAAATCTTCTTCGGTGGTACATGTTGTTTTCTCAAATCACTGATTTCATATTTGTATTTTCAGGTTCCACCTCCAATTTCTCAGACCCATTTGAAAATCTACAGGAGCAATGTCTTGTTTGAAGCCCTTATCGGCAGTGAGGAGTCAGCGAAATTTTGGTATCTCCGTAATCTGAAACTTTCTCTTTTGATATCTTATACCTTTTGGTGTTGTTGTTGTGACTGCATGCTGGGTAAAAATATTAACCCATGTCTGACTTGGTGGTTTAGGGATATGGATTTTGGGTCCTATTTTCCATCTAAAAGTCACGACTAGAGATGATTTTGTTGTTATATTGTCTGGTGAACATATTTTTCTCTTAATTCATGTCGTATTTCTAGCCTTATACAACTCAAAGATCTTGTCCTTAGGAATAATTTTATGGTTTGGATAGTTTTGGTATCTTGTATTGTTGGTCTTATTTGAGTTCATTTTCCTATAATTTTGGTCTTGTTCGTGTTCTATTTTCATATCATCTGTAAGCTTTCTTCCTGTAGCTAATAGAGTTGCAGAATTTAGTTAGTTTTAAAACAGTTCAAGGATTTGAATGCTATAAAAAAATCTTAACATTTATATTGGTGGTGAATGTCTTATTTGTGTTTTATCCTTTCCATTTAGAAATTATTTGATTGTATTGGAGTACTGATATGGTTCTTTAATGTGTTTAGCTGTAATGGCAAACCAAAGTACCATCCTTCCATGTGTAGATTTTGCCCTCATCTTTGGATTGCTTGCCTCTCACAGCAATCATTGCCACTATGATGGCTTCTATTCTTTTTGAAAACACGAAGTAACGGAGGACAAGTCTTCTCATGATCGACTGGATTGAGGCGGGGAGAAAATCTAGTGGGAGGTGGACCAAGTGGGCTTCTAGGTGGAGGAGGAGGTAATAGTCTTCCCCTTCTCTGAACATCCACACATTGCCACTCACGTCTGTTCTTACCAGAGCATACTAATGCTTCAAATCTTGTCATCTTCTGATTGTTTCAATCAACGTCTTTAAGTTATTTTTTTAATAGTTTTTTATTTCTGCATAATTTGAAATCATCTCAGTTATGATTCAAGTTGTATGATTTGGTTTCATTTTTTGCATGTGTTTATTGTTGTCAAGTTTTGTTTAGCATACTTGAAACATAACTTTAATATTGGTTAGTCTTACTAGTTCAAAAATGTGTCTAGGTTCCGGCCCTTATAAAATTTTGTTATTGTTGTCTTTGTTCTTTGAATTAATTAATTGATTGCCTTTTTAAAAAAATAGGAATGAATAAAAGTTGGTTGAATATTAGGAATAGAATTGGCCAAAGGTATAGAGATGGAGTCGGCGGCCTTCTCAATCGGGTGTTCAGTCAACCAAGGGTGAGCATTATGATTCCATATCCTTGTAAAGGGTGTATGAACACCTTGTTCCGGTTAAGCATTGGTGTAAGAGGAGACTAGTTGAGGAACGGTTTCTAGGATTCTTATAAAGTGTGGAAATTGCAAAAGAAATGATATTGTTGAATTTGTGTCCTATTTAAGAGACTTAATCCAGATAATTAACCTTTATATCAACTTCTTTAATGAATCTAGCTTTAATCGCTGCCTATTGCTAAATATAGCTTCAATTTAACATATAGTTGTTGATTTTCCTAAACCTACAAATTTGCCAACTCCCAGTTTACTACCAAGTTATAAATGCAGTTAGAATGTTACAATGTGATTTAACCTGATCATTAAATGATTCTGTTAGGTAAAAGTTGTATTGCTATTTTTATTTTGAAGAGGATATGGATGTTTTGAGATGGTTGTTTGGTAGGGATATCAGTAGTTGTGTTTTACGCATAGTCTAGTCTAGTGTGGCAGCTTACTTGTTTGTTTTGCAACTTTTTACCTGTTTCCTGGTGAACTTTCGATCTGATCGAAGGTTGGGAAGATTAGTCTATATCACTTTTATCATTACGTTTATCTACATTTTCAACATATTAAGGTAAAGAAAATTCTATATGCTTCCTCCTGGCCTCTGGATACTATAGTGCTACGATACCTATGCAATTGATCTGGGTAAATTTGGGTGCAGATGGATAAAAGTAACTTGTTAACTCATTGCTTTCACTTTAAGAGAACTCTTGTAAGAATTGCTGGCTATTTATTTGTGCACAATACTATCTTAAGAAAATTCAGTGCTCTTTTTTATTGCTTTATTCTTAGTTATGTTGTTTGGGGTGTTTATCAAATCAATTCCTTTATTTAGTTTGCTACACTTTCACATGTTATTGCATGATTGAGATGCTAAATTGATGATGAAGCTTAAAAGAGTTCTCATTGAACCCCTGGATTACGTGTGCCATGTGATAACAAAAGATTTACTAATTTATGTTTGGGAGTATTGAAACTTTCTTTATAGTGTTGCTAAGATTTATCTTTGAATATGTTGAAACTATTGTCATTGATTTAGTCTTATGTGCTTTATGTCACCCTCTTTTCTATTAAGCATTACATTATGAGAATTGTCAAAGTGATCATGTGTTTTTCTTAATAATAGGGACAATATTCTTAAACGATGACGTCCACCAAGGAAGAGATTGAAGGCAGACAGTGAATATTTTGTGTTTTTGGTCATATGTATATACTTGCAAATACAATGAAGTATAGTGTAGTATGTAGTTGATAATTTTTTAGTAATGGAAGCATTTATAATATTCCGCTTGAGGAATACTTTCGGTGTTTGTTAAATACTTTTAGATGCTCTTATTACCTAGATATAATTCTGGTAATTTATTAGTATAATTAGAAAAAATATTGCTACTGCTTAATTATTTTTAAAAATTTAAAATCTGTTGAAAATTTAAGCTTTAGGGGAGACAAAACCTTGCTACAAAATAATTAGTATTTGTGGCGACCAATATTGCTACTAAACCCTATGTTATTATTGTGGCGACCAGAGTTGCCACTGAAGGGTATAATTACTTTTGTGGCGACTACAATCGCTACTAAAAGCTGTTTATTAGTGGCGACCAACGTCAAACCTATTTTATGGTTGGGTATTTACTTCACCTTTTGTGGCAAGTTAAGTCGCTACAAATATATATTTGTGGTGGCGACTTTTTGTAGTCGCCAGAAATAACATTCAGTTACAGTAGTACAAGGTGCAACCAGAAAGTCGCCACTAAAGGGTTATACCAGTGACTTTCCATGCTTTAGTAGCGACATTTGTCGCCACTAAAAGTTTGATTTTTTGTAGTGATTTAACAAGCATCAACTCATGAACGGAACTTTACAAGCCTTATACTATGAAATAATAAGCAATACTAAACAGAGTCCTTCGAGAACATAAAACTGAGTAGCACATATTGTGTATGAAACTGAGAAAAATAAAAGGATGTAAATTTCCATGACAAACAAATATCAAACTTCAAACACTCTTTAGATTCGTATCCCAAGTTACATTCAAATGTTGTCCATAGTATGGGAAAATACCTGGATATTGAAGGAACAAAGAACAGAGGTAAGGAATTAGCAGTAACAGCAGCAACAATCAACAAAAGAAGCAATCAGTGAACCCAGTTTCAGGCCAAGAACTGATGCGCAGCGGTCAATAACCAACCAAACTTTCTAAGCAACCAATTCAACCTGTTTCACCTCGGATGAATTAGAAGTTTTTCAGAGATTGAAGCCTTTTTAAATCAGAAGAAAAAAACTTAATGAAATTGTGACTTTTTACTGAAATTTTCAGCAGTTTGTGCTATTTCTGGATTTTCTAGCTCGTTTATGATTTTTCCAGAATTTCTATATCCTCCAAAATCTGACTTGAGAGTGAAGAAACAACGCCTTTTATAGGGAGCTTTAGGACAGCAGAAATGAGTCAAGTTATTTGCCCTTTACCCCTTTTCAAATTTTCATTTTTGCTATTGAATCCTTAGTTTAAAATCAGTTTTTCAAAATAGGTCCTAATTCCCCACCTTCTAGGCAGCTTCCTAAATCAGTTACTAAAGATTCCCTTACCTAAATTCCCCAAACTAACCCTTAAACCCCTGTCAATTACCCCAACCTACCTCATGGGTCAAGTTGACCCAATAGCTTAAACCCAATTGAGCGGGCTTTCCTTGAAAATGGGTCAGAAATGACCCCAAAGCCCAAAGCCAATCAGAAAATCCATTTGGTAATTCATGAAAAAACAGAAGAAGAAGAAGAAGAAGAAGAAGAAGAAGAAGAAGAAGAAGAAGAAGAAGAAGAAGAAGAAGAAGAAGAAGAAGAAGAAGAAGAAGAAGAAGACAATTAAATGATTTCAAAACCAAAATCTAAACTAAACGACTGATTTAAACCAAATAATGAGTTAGAATTAACTATATTACCAAGTCAACAACATCTAATTAAACTAATCATATGACTAAAAATCAGAAGCTTAAAGTCATGAGTGACATTTAAGCATGACGAGTGAATAAAGCAACGTTTAAAAGTTGAAAGGAAAACTGAAAAATAGCCGGAACAAATACAGACATGGATCGGTCCAGGGAAAAAAAAGAAATCCTAGGTTCAGAACCTTGGTCAATTTTCAGTCTACTCACGAAAAATGAGAAGAAAGGAAGAGGAGTAAGTGGTGAAATAATAAAATGGACAGAAAAGATAAGAGAAAGGAGGACTTACCAATTCAAATAAACACTTCTGGATGCCCTGATTTAAACAAAATTGATGTTAATCGCTTGTTCTTTGTCAAGAACAAGCGGACAACATTAATTTTGCCTTGAATCAGATTTCAAAACTCAGAAAACTGGAAGCCTATGTCATGAATGCCACAGATTCAATAGATTCTGATTTTGGGCTTTTAAAGCTTCAACTTCGATTCAAGATTCGACGAAAGTTAGGGTGATTCGAGGGAAAACAAATGGGGATTTGGAGTTAGGGAGCCTTGGAGGTCCTCTGGTGTTAGTTTGGGGTTGAACAGAGGTGGCGCCGCCACCGGAGAAAACAAGGGCGGCGCTAGGGTTTCTCCTTTGAATCAAGATTCGAGACATTCCAAGGAATTTTGAGGGAAGGTGATTGGAGATTCGGGGATGGGTGGCGGAGAGGATTCATGGGTGTATTTTTTGTGGTGATTTGCGGTAGCGCCGCCACTGGTGGCGGGTGGGGATAAGGGCGGCTTTAGGATTTTGTTAGGCTGGTGTGAGAGAGATGAGAGACGAGGGAGTAGAGGGTGAGTGTTTGGACATTTATATATTAGAGGGAGCTCAGTTCCGGACCATCCGATCAAGTGAGATCGACGGTCTTGATTCAAAGGCAACGGTGTTGTTTGGCTTGAGTGAGGCGATGGGGTCGGGTAAAGGCAGAACTAGGCCGGATTTTGGGGCTATTTGGACGGGTATTAGGAGAATAATATTGGGCTTGGGGTTTTAATTGGATATGGCCCAATATATTTCCTTCTCCTATTTTCTTTTCAATTCCCTTGTCTTTTCTTAAAATAATTCTTTTCTTTTCCTTTTTCCAAAATTAAATAAAAATCCACATTAAATCCTAGAATTTAATTAACCTAAAAACACCAATTAAACCTAAATAAAAAATTATCATGATTAATTAAAACAACAAATTAAAGAAAAACTACTAAAATCAAAAATTAACATTAACAGGTGCAAATTAAACTATTTTTTGTGTTTTTCTTTTTTTTATAAAACAACTTAATTAATTAATCCTAAAATGTTTAATTAAACCCTAAATGCAAATGCACATTTTTTTTGTATTTTTATGACTTAAACAAAAATTAGACATGCGGACCAAAAATGCAAACAAAAAGAAAAAATTCTACAATAATTTCTAAAATGGTAAATAATTAACAAAATCTATTTTCTTGGGATTTTTATAGGAGTATTTCAAATAGGGCAAAAATCACGTGCTCACAACCTCGAGACTTTAGTGGAAGCCAGCTAGGAGGGTTTCGACCTTAACGCTGAGATTGCTAAAGCTAAAGAGGCAATCGAAAAAACTCAACAAAGTCAAAGTTTCCCTTCACCTGAAGATGGAATTCCCGAGGGTGATGAACTTGCTCCTGGTGAAGCTAATATTCAAGCATCTTCTTCTCAATTTGATCCATCTATCTTTGTCAATGATGCTCCCATTGCTGATGTTCCAGTGGATGATGCCTCCTAGTTTTTTCTATTATTTGATGTTTTTGTATAGAACTTGTTGATGGGAAGAGTGTTTTTTGAATAGGGGTTGTTTTACCCCTATCTTGTTTGGGGTTTGATGACAAACGTATGCCTTGTTTTTGCAAATTTTAATATATAAATTTCGGCTTTATTTTCCACTTATTTTGATGATTGAGTTTTTGTTTCACCTTTTAACATTTAATTTTGCATTAAAATGCTTCAATATTCCGCGATTCTGATAGACATGAAATTATAATAAAAGAGGGCCCTTTTACAAGCGACACCGATGAAGATGACGTCTCATCTTCAAATTGGTGCAAATATATGAAAGAAGTATAAAAAAGCTAATTTGAGAAAGTTTTATGCTTTGAACTCAAGTTTCGTACATCATTATTTGTTTATGTTATACAAAATTTACAACTCTTTCACAACTGCTTTATTTATAACAGGTTCAAAATATTGGGTCTATAATCCCATGACTAAAAAACTCATAAGAACTTGGAGTATATCTTGGATTCATCTTGTGTCCTTTTTCGAGTTTCTTCAAAGATTTTCTAAAGCTTGATTTTTGGCTCTTAGGCTGATTCAAGGTTAAATTCCGACTTTTTGTCTTCTTAAATTCTGACCTTTTGTCTTCTTTGCCTCTTCTCTCTCTATATAGTCCCCCCAATGTTAGAGCTTTGAAGTCTGAGATCCCGAGCACTGGATCGTTTCTTCCTTTGATCCATTCCCTGAAAAGAAAAATACACACGGGGACTCGGAAGTATACATTTAGATGATGACTGCTTAACCCTTTTTTCTCCATCAAAAGGATTGTAGCCTAGACCAGGAATAATTCAGTATTCCTCGTGTCTTTTAGGTCTAATATTATCACTAGGTAAGGGTTAGCGTTTTGCCTATCATCTAAAATGGTTAGTATAATTAAAAAAGAAAAAAAATAAATCATACGTGAATGATACCTGATCGGGGGTTCTTCCTTTGCTTAGAAGTAATACTTCTTTAAATGAACATCATTTCAATTTGATGGGAGCACTATGCCTTCCATTGTTTCTAACTCATATGCACCCTTTCCAGCAATGCCTTGAATTCTATAGGGTCCTTCCCAATTTGGACTCAACTTTTATGTATTGGCCATTTTTTTGACTGAAAAACCTTTTTGAGGACGAAGTCCCCAATCTTGAAGTATCTAAGATGAGCTTTCCAGTTGTAGTATCGCTCAATAATTTGTTCCTGCACTGCCATTCTTATTAGAGCTACTTCTCTCCTTTCTTCAAGCAAATCTAGATTTATTTGTATTTCTTCCTCATTTGATCCCTCAGTTGCTTGGGTATATCTTGTACTTGTGTGACGACCCGGCCAGTCGTCTTATGATTTACCACTCCGTTTCCCCCCACTTCTGCTTATTTATGCTTTGTTATTCGTGTTTTATGGTATAGGATTGGTCGGATCGAATCCGGAATCATTTTCGTACCGTTTGAGACACTTAGCCTCTTTTAAGGAAGCTTAAGTTGGAAAAGTCAACCAGATGTTGACTTGTGTGATAGAGGGCTCGGATGTGAGTTCCAATGGTTCAGTT